TTAGAAAAACATGCCCGACCCCCGCTCCGCTCCTAGCCTGCGTGGCATACTCCGCTCCCTGCGCTCCTAGCGTGAGCCAATAAGAGACTAAGAATCTTGTTACTTTTTTTTCTTGGATCAAATTTAAAGTTAACCTGTCAACGTAATACGTTGCCTTCTTGAAAATTCAAGTCTGTATGAAATCGAAATCATGTCTGCGCGACTCGTGATTAGAATTAATCAGTCTGTTGGACTTTACGATAACAGTAGAAATTTGCCACACATTGTTCCTGGAAGGGTTCTGATCAGGTTGAGTTAATCGGTTAAGTTCAAGTTTGTAAGGAAAAAGTGACCAACGTTTGTCGCTGTGGACTCGCTGTGATCGACCTTGCACGATTGTTCCGACTACCTATTTGATCGGGTTTTTGACTGTACTTCAAAACAAAATTACAAGTCATATCAGGACTTTTAATTTGTTGCCATTCGCTTTTGTTCACCATTTCAGTGATGTTTTTATCGATAAGACTGATTCATTTTGGATCCCTCATGTCTGTTTCCCAACAAAATTAGAGCGTAAAGTTTCAAAAAGGTACAGAATGCCAATGAAGTGTCACGCAACACCGCACTGAGCATGCCTTCCCTGTCGGCAACCAAAGTTTATATAGATCCGATTTCGGATTTCACCTTCCTTTCGACTGGGAAATCGGGCAAACCTTGGATCAAAAGGAACACACCCTATTGTGCTTTACATATCGAAGCATCATTTGAGTTGCCAATCGAAGCATTTATTCTAGTCGTCGTTCGTGCATACGCGCATGAAGCAAAGCATCGAAGAAACCTGCGTAAACTGAATAGCATGGTCTATAAAACACCACAATCTGTTTGTATTTGATGACTACGATAGACTCTTCGTAAGTTCGTCTCAAGGTAAGGTCCTTGGTTCATGTGTTTCCGTTAAAAATGTGAAACAATATTATTTCAAGGTTTAAATTATGCTAGCCAAAACGGGGCTAGGGAAAAGCCCCTTTATACGCTCATTCCAGAATTCTGTAATAGAAAGTGACGTCCGCGCACGGTACTCAAGAAAGAAAAAAACTGATAGGCTTTTAGCACATAGATCTCGTAGACTATGGATTATGAATGAATAGAGAAAATAGAAGCCCGCAGATTGAATTTTTTCGCTTTTTGAAAAAACCGCGAAAGAATTTAAGGCTACAGATTGGCTGAGAGGTTCGTAGTTGATGCTTTCAAAGAATGTTCAGAAATAAAATAAGATAAAATTAGTTGTTCTTAGGGAATCACCCCATAAGCTGTCGCGCTGTACACACGCACTAGTAGGACGCCGTTCAAAAAGTCAAGGTTACCATCAACTTGAATTAGATCTAGAAGCACAGACACATTGCTGACATTAAGGAAAAGCGTGATTTCTAAGTCCATTTCAGACAACGTTCTGAAAGACCGTAAAATTAATTTACATTATGCAATAGTACGCCAGTACACTGATGCCTAGCTAACCACATGACCAAATAATACGACAAAATCCACCAATCACAAATCACAAACCATGACCTTTTGAACCCGTTAAAGTAAAGTTTTGTTTCCTTAGAGGCCCGTTAAGATGATTGAGGGCAGCGAAAAACGCAATGGTCAGTTGGCTTTTGAACTTCAGAATTCGCATGTTTGTGAAAAGCGCAGTAAGTTAACTTCGGAATCAAACACTCGAGTTCTAACAACAAGTCAGTTAGACAAACATCATATCTGCTTTTTTTTATGTGCCAGATCAATCTCCTTCCCAGGTGCCTTAATAATGCGCTGCGCACGAGAACAGTCATCACATCAACTCTGTAAAGACTGGAAATAGGATCGCGATGTTGCGCCTTCCCATAACTCTTTGCTCCCTAACTCACGCTTTTTTGCCGTGCACATTAGTGACCGACGAGAACGACTACGAGAGATTTGATTTTAAGTTTTTTCGCGTATTGTCAAAAAATAGACAGCCCGGAATTCTTCATTGTACTTTCTTTCACCAGAAAATTAAGCACTGTTACCATTAGTGAAGGAGGTTACGCGCTCTGCTGATCGCAAAATGCTAAAACTTCTAACATTTGATTACTCGTTTCCGCCACTACGACATTCTCGCTAAAACTCGTAGTAGCTAGAATGACGAAGGCTACCACGTTTTCCCGCCAAAATCACGCTGCTTTACGCGCATGTACTACTTAGAATCGCATAACTGAGTAAAATCTGGCATTCTGATTGGTTAACGAAGCTAGGTATTTGGTGGGGAATTGCGAGTTAAAAACGAGGCTAAGCGTTATTGTTTCGCATCTACGTAACAACTATCGTCAAATTCTAACACAACAACTGCAAAAAAGGTTTTCTACAATGTCATTTTAAAATGTTTCCAAAACCATTGTCACCTTTTGAAGAGATAAAAAAGAACAAGAGCGTTTTTTTAAAGTGAGCCGGAGGTTCTTCCTTGTTTTGAACTGAACTACAAATTCTTGGAGAGGCATAAAAA